CCCCGCCACCACCAGTCCCAGCCCAACGGTGGGGCCGCAGCAGTAGGAGGTTACCTGGCTCGCCGCCGAGACGGGCCCCGCCGGCTGACCGGCCGGACCTTTCTCCTCCTCCTCCTCCCTTGCCGCCGCCACCCACGCGCCCTAACGGCTCTCCGCCCCCTTCCCTTTCCTCTTCCGGGTACGGCGGGCCCCACGCGTCTCTCCGGCGACCAACGGGGAGGCGGGGCGGAGGTCACGTGGCGGCGCACGTGGCGGCGGCGGCGCGGTGGGTGGCTTCGATGGCGGCCGGAGGCGGCCCCGGCGCCTGTGAAGGCGGCGCGGAGGGAAGGTCCCACCGCTCCCCTTTCCGTCTGCTGCCGCCCTCACCTCGCAGCGCCGGTGCCCCGCGGGAGGTGGGCGCCGCTCTGGCGTCCCGGGGGCCTTGTATGGGCCACCTGGCCCGGCACAGCCCGCCCCAGGCGCCGGAGAGGCCTGAGGCTGAGGAGGCCCAGGAGGAACCGTGTCACCCGGCAAAGAGGGTGAGAGGCTGTGGCAGGGAGGAGGTGGCCCGAACGGAGTGACTGCGTCCCCAGCGGGTCCTTGTTTCTGAAAACACTGAGATGTGCATGATGGCGGTTCGTGGGGAGGTGTGAAATACTCCCCAGAGAGCAAAGTCAGCTATTTTAGTCAGAGCAATGCTTTCCCAAAACAGAAGTCACACTGGGTTTGGAGCTGTGGTTTAGGTTGTGCAGAAAATCCTGTAGCCAGAGGTTGATGTTCATAAAGGAGACAGAGGAGTCCTGCAATGACTGTATTCGAATAAAGGGAGAGTCCACTGGGGCATACCCTGTGGGGTCTCTCAGTTTTCCAGAGGACGCAGCCTCCATTTTATCCTAATTCCCCGGCCACATCTAACCCTCTTCCTTTACCCTTTGCCACATTGGCTGAGGTACTTGGAAGGCACAGACTTCTCGATCTGCCCATTACACAAAACTTTAACTTTCACACCTTCAGTTAATTCCCCTATTTTTATTTTTTTTGTTGTTATCTCAGTCCTGCAGTTTCCAGTAACTCTCCTATTTTCTTCAGTTACCCTACTCTTATAAATTAAATTAACTTCTCTATTTGTGGAGATACTCGGATCCCTACTTTATCACCTGTTTGTGGAGACCCTCTTATCCCTATCTTATCAAGGTGAACGCACTCCAAGCATCTCTTAAGTCTTGGGAAAGGAGGTGGCATGAGGACCGCTAGTCTTGAAAAGAGTTCACGTGTGGGATGTCTTCCATTCCAGGCAAGGAATGGAAGAGAACTGACTTTAATGTCCTGAATAAGGGGTGTGGGTAAACGGCAAGCGATGGTGGTGTTTTTGGATGACATCCACCGGGGTATTGCTATGAGCGCTGTTTGGGTGAACCTGGCTTAGTAATTAGTGACCTGGCAGAAGAAAACTGCACTTCATGTGTGAGCGAACAAAGAGACAGTAAGAAAGGACTGAGATCACCTCAGAGAAAGGCTTGAAGCTTGCTGAAAACGTTACTTTCTTCTCAATAGACATACTCAATAGACAAAGTGCTGCTTTGCTGTGCCACTTTTCTGATGTGGCCATGACCCCATGACCGCTGTATATCCCGGCGCAGGCTCTCTTACGTTTCCTCTTTCTTCCTCCACCACTTTCAGAGTTTTACTTTCTACCATCGTGTCGATTAGTATTGCTCGTACAGTGGGTGCAGTTCTGCTTGCCTGTCCCAGCTGGCTTTGGAGTTGGGCCTCTCTTGTGTGATCGATTGCCAAGGTTTTCCAGCTTGCTGGAGAGTGAAGACAGCACTGCATCCTGCCCTGGGATCTGTCTTTCCTCAGGGCTCCTGAATGTTATGCCAACAACTTAAACTTAACATCCAAAACATTCTCAGCCATGTTTCTCCTGCTGTCTGCTGCTCTTGAAAGTAGCACCTTGTTTGCCAGTCAGGGGGTGGCAGATCTAATTTTTATGCCTAATACCTCCAACTAGCTGACTGATTTAAACCTGTTTGTTGGTGAGTTCAGCTGACTGGAGGACAGAAGGGAAGTATGTCTTGTCAACAACTCCGGAAACAGAGGGCAACACGTCACAAGGTTATGGATTTATTCCATACAATACCTTTTGAAATATTGGAAAAAAGACTATGTCCCTCAGTCTTACTTTTTTCTTTTTTTTTTTTCCCTGGAGGAAGAGAAGGAGGCTATAAATTGCAGGAGTGGGTGGGTTTTTTTTTCTTTAATGCTAATTCATTTTGCATGAATACTGTTTACCAGATGCCTTTGTAATATTTCAGTAACACAACGTTTATGCCTAAGATGCTAATGTTAGGCGTTTGATTGTTGTAAATGATTTAAAAAAAACCAAATCTTTTCAAATTACAGCTGCTAAATGGTGGAGCCTGTTTTTCTAGCCTCTTGAATACATCCGCTGTCTCCATCTGTTTCATTCTGTCAAATCTGCAGTTCCCTCTCACATCTTGTCAAGGTCATTTACAGATCTAAGTGTCAGAGCTTAGGTCACACAGAACATGTCTTCAGTGCTAAAATACTATCTTCCCTTTTTTTTTAATTTTAATTTTAATTTTAATTTTAATTTTAATTTTAATTTTAATTTTAGTAGTTAACACACATCAGCAGTTCCCGCCTCTTTGCTTGCAATTGCTAGCTATTGCAGGGCTTCAGCACAAACACGTTTTATGAGCCCAACATCACACACTGAACAGAGGTGATGATGAGTAGTAAATGGGCAGGGAAGTGGCCTTGGGCTTGATGCTGAGAACTGCCCTGCTGTGGTCTCTCTAAGCTTCTACTTCTGAAAGTTTCTTAAAATTTGAAAAGTTTTATATTCCCTTGCCTTTTAACTTCTCATTGAGAACAGCTATGTGATTAGAAATATTAAGTGTTATATAAAATCAATGAAAACTCTGAAAGTTACAAAAGTATTTGTTTTAAACTACAGAGCTGCTGCCATACAATTTGTGGACAGGTGTAACACCATGCAAAAATCTCATGTTATTTCCTAAAAATCTCTGGTAATCCTTTTGTTCTGTTAACTGCATTTCACAATTGTACATAAATCTCCGATTTTTTCTGTTATTGTTCCAATAGGTTCCTCTCTCCAATACCATCTGAATAACTAGATAGCAATTGCATATTTGATGGTACTATGTTTTAAGTCCTAAAGATATATTTTAATATAGCGACGTCCTTAGTTTTATTAATGTGTTCTATGTTGGTTTTCAAAATGCACAGAATTCTGTCTGGGGACAAACAGTATTGCTAGTTACCTCTGCTGAACAGCTGCAGATTTTCAGCAAGCTGCAAATTGAGCTTTGGAGATTTCTTATTTGCATGTGTACAGAGCAATCATTTGTTAAGTAACAAAACATTTATAAACATACATCCTTCAACAGTGGTACTAACAAGCAGCACATCAGTCCTTATGTAAGAATCTCCAGGACTTTCTGCTGTGCTTCTCTCTCTTTAGTGGCTCATTCTCATGTCAACAAATTATTTCCCATCTCGGAGAAAGAGGTTTTAACGAAAGTAGGAATTATTTGAAAGCTGCGCAGCAAGAGCATTAGATCCTTTTGTGCTGTGCTTAGCGGCACTAAGGCTGGGCAGGCACTAACTGCCAGGGTAGGGCTTTGGCTTGTATCATTTTCTTACAAGTCTTGGGTATAGTGACAGCATTTCAATTTAGACCTGTTTACAAATAGTTTCTAAAGAATAATCTCTGAAATTATTAAAATAGTAAAGAAAGGAAATAAAATATTAAAGTTATGCTTTCTTTTTCTCTGCAGAACATCTTCTATCTTTATCCTGATACATCAGTTATTGAAGTCAGCGTGAAAACTCAGTGATCTGAGCATGTGGTCATCAGGTATTTATAAATCAAGAACTTTACGGTTTGGGTCTGTTGCAGTACTTGTTTTCAGTAATTTTGATTGCACTTTGTGTTCTTCAGTGTTTCTGATGTATCTGGCATATTTCTGGGCTACATCTGGCTGGTGACCAGTCACCAGTGGTGTTCCTCAGGGTTCAATTCTAGGGCCAGTTCTGTTCAATATATTTATCAACAACCTGGACGCAGGCGCTGAATGCACCATTAGCAGATTTGCTGCTAATACCATACTGGGAAGTGCTGTTGACTCGTGAGGGACAAGAGGCCTTGTAGAGGGATCTAGATAAAGTGGAGCATTGGGCAATGATTAATGGGATGAAATTTATCAAGTCCAAATGACAGATTCTGCACCTAGGATGGAGTGATTAATGCCAGGCACAAGTATAAACTGGAAGTGGCTGGAGAACAGCCCTGCAGAAAGGGATTTGGGGGTGCTGGTGCACAGCAGGCTCAGTGGGAGTCACCGTGTGCCCCGGCAGCCACGAGGGCAAACCGCCTCCTGGGGTGCATCAACCAGAGCACAACCAGCCAGTCAAAAGAGGGGATTATCTGCTGTATTGAGTGTCGGTGTGGCCTCACCTTGAACACTATGTGTGGTTCTGGGCCCCCACAATTTCAGATGGATGTTAACGTCCTTGAATGCATGGAGAGGAGGGCAACAAAGCTGGTGAAAGGGCTGGAAGGAACGTCCTATGAGGAGCGGCTGAGGACTCTGGGTTTGCCTGGTCTGGAGCAAAGGAGGCTGAGGGGCCTTATTGCTCTCTACAGCTTCCTGAGGGGGGGAAGTGGAGAGGGAGGTGCTGACCACTTCTCCCTGGGATCCAGTGATAGGATGCATGGGAATGGTTCAAGGCTGCTCCAGAGGAGGTTTAGACTGTACAGTAGGAAGCATTTCTTTACCGAGAGGGTGGTCAAACAATAGGCTTCTTAGAGAGGTGCCCAATGCCCCTTGTTTGTCAGTGTTTAAGAGGCATTTGAACAATGCCCTTAATAATGTGTTTTAGCTTTTGGTCAGCCCCGAACAGATTAGGCAGTTGGATGAGATAATGGTTGTAGGTCCCTTCCAGCGGAAATACTCTGTTCTGTTCTATTCTATTCTAAAATACCAATATTGAAAATAATTTGTAAATTGTTAAGCTTTGCTTGATAATGTAACAATAACACAGAAAAGTGTCTCAGCATCAGCTGATCATGATGTGATCAGCAGCTTATTGCCATGAGCACAGAGGAGCCGTAACAGGTGGTGAAACTCCAATGACCTAGTCAGCAAAA